ATAATAATTTCTTACTCAAAGTTTTTGTTCTTGGAGGTGCTGCCTGTAAACACATTCACTACAATTTCTCAGAGGGAAAAACCCCTTGTTCCTGAACTTTTCCAAACACATAGCATCTGAACCATCAGAAAGCATGTCCTAGTGCTGGCCTGGCACAGGAGTGATCTTCAGCACAGCACAGACTGCTGAGCTTCATTTCACCCTTCTCCTAACTCCATCAAAAATGCTCTGCTTCTCAGGACCTCAGTTCTGCAATAAAGACAAATGGCAGCATCTCTCTCCTTAATGGGTTTAAGGAGAGGGGGATACTTATCAAGAGAAAATGTCAAGACTGTACCATTAACATTCATGAACATAGCAGATTTAAAAAATGAGAGGGTATATATTTCCTGGGATTTACTACTACAGTTTAAAACATTCCATGTAAATGCAATTCTTATGGGAATCACAATTTCATTGCTTTTTTTTTTCAAATTTACAGTTCACCTGAACAATATATTTTTTTGCAGCTGACAGTGTGAGTTATTTCATTGCACTTAATAAAATTCACAGTCTGAAAAGCCTAAAGTCAGTCTTCTTGGTGTAGAGTAAGACCTATACATTCTCCACCCTAAATGAAACTTTCAGGAAACAAAGGGTTTTCTTCCTGGTATTGGGAAGAAGTGTTTTTATAGGGCTTCTGGTGGCAAAAAAAAAAAAATAAAAATTATGAACTCCTGAGGTGTGAGGATATGGCGCATTTCTGAGGTGCTAAAAAAACATTTTATTGCCTATTGTTTTACACTGGATGCTGTGAGCTTTTACTCCATGCCACAGAAATTGACAAGACAGAAGAAAACTCTGTTTTACTGAGTACAGTAAGATTTTTTGTCTCTTAAAACCACCAAAGATATGAAACCCACATGTGCCCATTTAAAAAAAAAAGCTGTGTAAATATTCTCTGTGTTCTGGCTACCAGCCAGCTTACAAAAGTGAGCTACAGCCAGCAGAAATGAACAGGACTGACCAATTCTTTTTTTCCTTTAGCCCCTGAGAGTGAGGAAAGATTTTCCATGTCAAGTTTTGCTATAACTTTCAGGCCTTTCAAAGAGTTAAAGAATACTTCCATATTTTGCAATAAATATATTCTAAGGCTCTGCCATTGGATCCTATCTGCTTCAGTGCTGGTGAAAAAAAGACAAAATTCTGAGCAAATTTTACTGTGTTAGCAAAGAAAGCTATGAAACACAAAAAAAATTCTTAAAATTTATCCTACCCATCTATTCATTTATCTATTGATTTCACAATCTGTCTGCTGCCCACATTCCTGTCCTTTTAATCTCTTATCAAAGCCAGTTTTGGCTATCAAGACAAGCTTGTAACTTTGGACAAGACAGGCATCAAAAAAGAGAGTCCTTTTGCAATTCTTGATTTGGTAAATGCTTAATTTCAAGGAGAGAGTGGAGGCACAGAGAAACAGGAAGCCCATAGCTTTAAAGTACTGTACAAGATAAAACTAGATTGGTTCCAATGAAAACTTTAGCACCACAAAGAGCTTTCACATTTTGTCACGCGTGGTTATAAAACACACAAGTCAAAATATTTGGCATATGGAACGGCTGAATGCAACGTTTTTGTTAATACAATGAAGGAAGTTATCCTCCTAGTGTCCTCTGACATTAAAATTTTCTGTCATGCTGAACTGCCAAGTTTTTTTAACATTTTACCTTTCTTCACAGTTTCCTTCTGCCAGCTTACATCAGACAAATCATTAGCATCAAAAAGAAAAGCACTCAATTCATACTGCTTTAAGCAGTTACCTGTGCCAGCAGGTATACAGACAGTATAACTCTGATGAAAATGTCACACTAGCTTATCATAGATCCACAGCTGAAATTATCTGCTTCAGAACAACAGCAGAAAAATATTTTTGAAGGTAAAACAGTCAGGTATACAGACAGACAGTATAACTCTCTGATGAAAATGTCACACTATCTTATCATAGATCCACAGCTGAAATTATCTGCTTCAGAACAACAGTAGAAAAATATTTTTGACGGTAAAACAGCTACAGGCTTTGTTTTCTCCTAAGAGAACACTGAGCAAAAGTTTCCAGACAAATGTTATCATCGTGCTTCAGATGAGAAAGTTTACTACAGACACAAAAGAAATGGAGAGCTTTGAATATGGCCTGCACAGTTCAAAGGAACAGAGATGAGAAAAAGTCTCTAGATTTCCTGATTTTTGTATTATCAACGTCCTATAGTGGAGGTTTCCAATACTAAGAAGTTTGTTTAGATGAGATCTACAGTGATCTGGTGACAAAGCAAAGCACCTGTACTGAGCGAGGAGAGTCCCAGCTTCAGGAAGAAGGGGTTTAACTCACAACACCTGCAGACATATCTTAAATGCACAGGTGATTTTATGCATTTGATAACATCAGGCATTTTGCTTCCTATAGCAGGAAGGTGCTTTTAATAAAGTTTAGATTATGTTGGTGGGACAGCAATTTCCTGTTTCCTACTGTGATTTCTAATCTATGTAATCCACTAAAGCAACACTGGATTGAAAAACTCTTTCTTCAGCTACTTTTTGCTTCAAGGCAGCTCTACAAATCCTGTTTCTGAATTGCCTCCAATCCAGAACTGCTTGTTGTAGTCGACTCTGGAAGTGAATCACCTTTCTGTAGTCCTTCTCTGTGTTTTCCTCATCTTCTTATATTCAGTTGACAAAAGATAAGTTCTATATAAACCTTCTTTATGTGGAAAGAGGAAAGAAAGACTGCCATAAGAGAATCTCAAGTGGAGCAGCAGGTCAGCAGACAATACTGTGAACTCTATAGATTTAATCTGCAAGTGTTAGTTGCAACAAAAGGTCAGTTTTGGCCCAGTTTATCTGCTGCTTTGTGGGACCACCACACAGCTGGCAGAACAACATGTCTTCTTCCAAGCACTTCATGATGCAACAGCAGAGGGTGTTGCAGATCAGGTCTAAGATGTCCTGAGGAGAACAGTGTAGGGTTTCTTACACACAGCTTTAATGTTTTTTATTTTTCTGGCTGATTCTGTTAAGGGATTTTTTTCCCCTAAGTATTAGCACCAACTCAGAAATAATCAGAAAATAATTATAATAGGAAAAAATCTCTCAACATATGCATGTATGAAAAGAGGAAGAGAGAGTTAACACAAGGAAACTGCTTTCTTACTTATATGCCCAGTCAATAAATGAATGGGAAGATAAAATAAAGGTTTAATCCACCTAGGGAATACTGACAGAAAGTGGTGAATCTTTAGATTCAAGACCCATTTTTAACATGAAATCCCAGAGAAAATCACCGTCCTGTAATAAGTGATCAAATTTCCTCCTGATACTGGAAAATACAAAGAGAGGAGAAAGACTACCCAGCACTTAATGATTCTGGCAGACTGCTGATTTCCCACCTGACAATTTCTAGGGCACCCTGTGTGCTGCTTATTTGCTTCCCCCATTGTAAAAGAAACGAAAATATATGGTGCACAGAACAGCTGAAGAAGTCATATAAACTCAAAGAAATTCTCATGGCAGAGAGAGCATATCCTTCTATTGATCCCCTTGCCTTCCTTTTGTCTAACATCCCCATGGGGAAACCTTCGAGACCAAATTGTGCAAACCTTTAGGATGACTTCCACATACTACAAACATCGTTATTTTTATTGTTTAATTTATAAAACCAAGGGAAATACCTAATCCCAAACTGGGCATTGCTCTTATGTCAGTACAATAATCTCTTTATGTCTGTTATTAAGCAAAATTGCTCTATGGCTGCATGTGGCATCACAAAAGTACATCTCCACCTTCCAAAGACCTGCCTTAACTGCCTGCTTGCAAGCAGACAATGACCCACTGCAAGCATGCCCAGAGAAGGAATGCCATACTTTTGCTAGTACCTGTATCACAGCTAATACAGAATTTCCAAAGATGCGTCCTAGAAGAAGGGTTTGATGGACAGTCATGCATAAATCCCAGAAATATGGACAGAAACCCATAATTTCTCCAGAAAGAGTGACTGCTGTAATAGCTGTTCTCAGTCAGAAGCCATCCATCAGCTGCATGCATTACAAACTAAATTCCATCTTAGTTCCACGTGCTTTGAATATACAGCTTGGTACAAAACACACATATTAATGGCTCTAGGCATTTCACACTGACACAAATGCAATCGAGTCACAAAGGAAGAAGGGAATTTCACCCCTGCTTGGTGCACACACTGTTGATGTGCCAGTTAAATGTTAGAAAGAAATCAATTCTGCTGGAATGACATGCACAGCCCCCCAAGAAGCATCATATCTATTTTTAGGCACAGGACACAGGACTGCCTTTTAAAGAAGTTAGCAATAAATCAGTGTTGGAGGGATGGATTGATGCAGAGAACCCTTTCAGACTGACCATGGGGTGCAAATTAAGGAGTAGGCTGAGTGCTCTCCATTTTCATTTCTCAACTCCAGACTCTTAAGTCTTTTTCCTCAGCATGCTTTGTATTGGAAGTGCTGTAAATGCACATTCCTATTTGTATTTTACCTAAACTCAGTTCAGCTGAAGGTTCATTTCATTTCAACTCATAATCAAGGCTGAGGGAAAATAAATAACCCGGTCCTGGAGAATCTCCAAAGTGTCTAGCTCCCCAAAAAATTTCTTGAAGGTTTATTTAAGTACATATTCCTGACACCATTTTGACAATATTTTGACAATATTATGTGAGAACTGAGTATGACACAATTAAAAGAAGAAGCCACTCAGTGGAAAATGAAAAGCTTTCTGGCATGTGGAAAGATCACTGAGCAACAAGTGCAGGCAAGGAAAGAAAACCACACAGTAACATTAAAGATAAAAGTGGAATGTCACTTCCCCATCATCAAATCTGCTCCCTAAGAGGGAGATAAACTTCTTCATTGACTGAACAAGAAAGAAACACGTACCCCTCAGCAGCCACGCAGATTTAGCTGAAGTTTCTGTAAGAATAGCTTTTTAATGGAAAAAGTTACCTGGATTTTTGTAGATGCTAAGCACATCCTTGAAATAATGAGGTAAGAATCTTTCTAATAAAAGCAGCACATCCTCCAACTCCTCCAGAATGCCCACAAGCAGAAAATTTTCATTAACGTTCAGCTTTGCTCTTTCAAGGGCCCATTCACCAGGCTCCCTGTATGAAATTGATGGGGGAAGATGGAGGAGGGAAAAAGAAAAGTTTAAATATGCATTTACTTCTCAAATTCAAGCCAAGAACACAAGTCAATTAAAAATAATCAGTCCTATACTTAGAACAAAAAAAGGCCCCCCACCAAACCCAAGTAGCTTACTGAGCTTTTCCACTCAATGTCTAAAATTGGATTGGCATGTAAAAACAGCATCACATTAAAAGGAGGCTAATCACTGTGTGAAAGTACTCCATTCTGAAGAGATCTTTTGCCAAGTTGTTTATAAGCTCAAACTAGTGAACTTTGGTATTTCAATTTGGAAGCACAACCCGTCTGATGGGAGGGATGACTGCCCGTGGTGTTGGAAGGTGCTGAGGGGTGGTGGTGTCCCTGAACTACATCAGGAGAGCTGCTGGGACCAAGCACTGCCTGCTGTTACTTGGCGATTCCTGCCAAGGACACTACCATGTTCCACCTTGTCCTTCATTTTAACTTTTGCCAAAGTCTCCAGGAGCTTCCATTTCCCCTGTCATTATCTCTGGTTGCCTTGCAGCTTTGCTACAGGATTTGCATTTTTTTGCTGTGACTGATACTGGTTTTGAAGAACAGTTTAGCATTCTTCTGTCCTTTCTCCAAGCAGGAGAAGCTGGCAGGTCTTCACTACCTCTTTATGCTTCTGTTTCCCAAAAGCACAATGTAGTTAGTCAACCATATGGATCTTAAATCCCTTATAATAACTCATATTAGTTATGTTCTGGGAGCCCCAGCCATCATTCATACTGACACCAGATATAATGCCAGCATCCCAGGCTAAAGGAATCAGCTGCCCACAGTGCCTGGGAGTGGCTGTACATCACACCTCTTCCACGACTTCATTAGGTTATTGTGGATCCTATGCAATAGTGAATTTAACATTTGTCTGAAGCTCTTTCTGTGCCATGTGGAAAAGCTCACTACTTTCCACTCTACTAGAGCAGACTTGTAACAGGTTTTTCATGCTCTACCACCTTCTGGGCACTGATCTGTTTTCTGGAAGAGCAAAATCTATGACAAACACTATAAGCCTCCTGTTTGTATCTCTTTATGGGACTAAGAAGTAGCTGAAGTAAGTGCAAGGGTATGGCAGCAGCCAAATCTACAAGAAGGTACAAAACCATACATCAATATGCTGCTTGGGAACCTCACAGAGATATTTTGTGAAAGTATTCAGGAATGTGACTGTTGTTAATGGGATTACTCACCCATGCAAGTTAAATGTGCAACTATAAGCATTTGCAAATAAGGCCAAAACATGTTAAAAAAGTGCAATGAAAATGAAGTCATTAACCTGTTTTGTTTCTTATACATAACTTCAGTTAAGCAAAAAAAAAAAAAAAAAGGCAGGATTCTACAACACATGTACTTAGAAATTAAGACAGAAGTAACACATTTTCACTTGTTATTACTGCTACAAGAAGTATGGCTTTTGAAAGAAATTCTGGAAAATGTGCAGTTGTTTCATTATGGAGAAGCCTCCATAATACAGAAACAGAATACCTTGAAGTTGAACACACCTAATAAAAAAAACTTTTTACCAACAATACTGAAGTGTTTAAAACCAGAAAGTATTTAAAATTATTCCTATATTATTACATAAAAATTTATTATGGTATCAGTAATACAGCAATATTAGAAAGGCACACACAGATGCTAAAAATGAGGTAGCTCAATTAAAGCAGTAGAGGGCTACATTTTACATGGTTTTAAGCATGAATACAGTTTCTCACATGGACACAGAAATCTGTATTCTTCATATAGACCTGAGAGAAGCATCTGAGCAAATCAGAAATATGTATTACAAAATTACAGTGCAGATAAAATGAGTAACCCAGAAAAAAAATCCACATAAATAGATTAATATATGATGAATTATTCATGTTATAAATCAAGAAAAAAGAATAGTGTTACATTTGCAATGCCTTCTTACTTCAAAATATATGCATGCAGTTACCACATGCAGTGCTACATTCCTTGTACTTTCATTTTTCTCTTGTACTTCAAATAATGTCACCTCTTTATTACTCATTTCTGACAAAATGTTGGCAATAGCTATTGCTGAACAATTTGGAATACCTTGCATATATTTACCTGCATCTTGGATGCTGTCCACAGAAATATGGTATGATGTAAAATAACCTGGGATTAGAACATTCAGGGTAGTTTTCAAGGATACACACATTAATGTCCTGTGGGGGATGAAAGAAAAAAAAATACTGTATTATCCTTTCTCTATTAGCAACTGTTTGCTTTATCTCATACTTTTTTTTTCATCTTAGAGTCAAAGAACTGTGCCAAGGCTATAACAAATATCTTAAAAGTCATCTATCGGTCCATTTATCTACTTCTAAATATCAGCAGGGGAAACAAAAAGTTATTTTGTCCTAAAATGCACAAAGCAATTTTTTTCCTTGCTGCAAGCCCCACAATTATTATACTGAGATTACTGTACAAGTCAAAGTGGGACACATTCATCAACTTTCATACTGAGTAACATTTAAAATACTCAGAAGATTATTTCCAGGCTCTTCTTTCTTCTAAATACACCCTGGAGAAAACCTGAAGTAGCCAGAATAAATATAATTGAGACAACAATTATTACTTGTTGAATCCCCTCTCCATCACCGCCCCCCCCTTTTTTTTTTTAATTCTGCTGCATTCAGTGACTGGAATGAACAAATATAAGATGTGATTTGTACATCTCACTCAATATTATAACATACATCATTTTTTGTTACAATTCTGTAAACTTCTCTGATTTTCAGAACTGAAGTGTGCAAAGCCTACTGAGAAAACAAGTTATTAGAAACTATTTATCATTTTCATGAAATATCATTCATCTAATTAGAAACTATTTATCATTTTTCAAAGACCAGGCATAGCTACTGAACCCTGAGGAACTGCATTCCATTTATAGCCTTACTTCAGCACAATAATAAACATGTGGGACTGAATTCCATTATCCTCATCTAATCTAATAGAGCCTTACTCTGCAAGCAGACACACCCTCTGCAGAGACATACAGGGCAAAAACATGGGTAAAACAGCTAAAGCAAGGATGGAAGGATCGCACCTGTGCAGAATCAATCTCCATTGTTATTCAGATGTGTTTTCACAATGCTATAGGTGCTATATGCATCAATGTCAAACCAATAACTAAACAAATCCATATTTTATCAAGTAAATAAAATGTGACTGAGAACATTCCACAAGACAGATGTGCTTGGCAGCATGGAAGACACAGAGAGCATCCCCTGCTCTCCCCAGAACTTCAGTCCTCTCACCTCATTTCACTGGATCCCCATTTCGGTCTGTAAGCCTTTTAAAGTACATTTCTGATTCCTACTCTGTCTCACAGTCATGTGAATCCAACTATACAAGCACACCAGATGACCCTGGGCTAGGAAGTAAATCACACGGTGAGGAACCATTAAAGAAAACAACATAAAAATTGCCAGCTGGGATACAAACAATCCATTTCCCCTGTTCCCCACAGTATATTCAGGGCTTGCCTTAAATACAGACCAGAAGATTTATGGCCAAGACCTGAATTTTGACATTAAAGGCTCTGAGCTGAAGCTAACCAGCCCCCCATGCTCCATGCTATGATTACTAACAAATCTTACTGTGGATGTAGAGCTGGCACAGGCAATGTGTCTCTCCTGTCATCCCAACAGGGCTTTTTAACATGAATTATAGATTGCACTTCTTTAAAGGCTTATTGTGCTTTGACTATAGACACCACCAGAGATGTTTTCAGTGGTACGTATTTTTGGCTTTCATAAGAACCTAAAGACCTGCAGAAAATTAATAAATCTATTGGATTTTAAAAAAATCTAAAATATTGCCCTGAGAGTACTTTAAATTATGTCCAAGTTGACTTGCACTTGATAGACAGATTAGATGGAAGGAGGGTAGAACACCTATATAAGACTTAAAAATCTGGAGCAACACCCACCTAAGAACATTTTCTCTTTTCTCTCTCATACAAAGACAAATAGACATTATCTCCCAACAAAGACATTTACCGTTTCTTTGCAAGAATAATGAATATGATGAGTCAGAAAAGATTCCCTGAGATGAGTATCAATACCCAACACAAAAGTGTAACCAGGATCTTCTTGTAATTGTGAAAAGAGTATTTGATTCACATGGCCAGAGAAACATCTGTACTATAAAAACAGTGTAAATTCATGCGGAAAATCCTGCAGATTTAGCAAGTAAACAGCTGATACTAACTCAAAAAAAGATTTTTAGTGTCCTTTTTAGGGTAAACTGATGTAGGATTACTGAAACAATTAGGCTGGCTCTAATCTAATCTTCCCCACTCCTTGTTGATAACTCAAAGTTTAAGATAAAAAGGCCAGGTGAGCTTTCATACAAACCTACAATCTTTTGCCACACAAGGACATGCACTTCACCCTCCTAACATCAGAAGCACCAGGCTTACTCTGCAGTAGAAGCACTGCTCCTTCCCAGGCTTTGTTTACCACCACTGCTACGATCTGTATTCCAGCTGCTGGAGTGTCCTCGTGCATCTGCAGCCCCTGCTCACTCCATGAGATGTGAACTCAGTTTTCAACCAAAAAGTGGGTAAAAGAAAGGTCAACCTGAGGTGTGCAAATCATTACAAAACTTAAACACACCTACAGGAGATGCTTTTTGGTGCCAGTGGCACTCAGGAATTTCTGGGGTTTTTTTTCCCAGCATGGAAAGTCAAGGTGAAATGACATTATTCTAGGCAGTGTCACTCTGCTATCCTAAGCAAAATTAATTAAGCCACATCTCCCACTAAGAACATGCTTTCTCAGCAGAACACAAATCTTTCAGGGCAGAAATGTTTCTATGCAAGACAAAAATTTGCGAGGTGACAGATGACAGCTTTGCTCATTTAAATGACGGGAGGAGCCTTGTAAAAAATATTTTAACACAGTCAGTAAAAAATTATTTTAACACAGTCACAGAAGGAAACACACAGAGCTACTTTGATCACAACCTTTCACAATAAGGAAAGCAGTATTTTACTTCATTCCTCAGCTCCTGGCTACAATTCATATCACTCACATCCCACGGGTCTTGTGTCTTCAATGGAGCAGTGGCAGGCCTGGGAATCAGCCCTGCAGCTCCAAGTAAAAACAGAAAGTGTCTTTCTTTTAAATAGTACTATATTTTTCTACTCATGTAACAATTTTGTCTGAAAAGTTAAACCAGTAATTTCTGCTTCCTTCTTCTTTAAAATTTGTCTTTGAAATGAAAATCACAACATGTCTTAATCCTTTAATCTGTCAATGAGTCAGACTACTGCTCTATCAGAAATATATCAAAGCTTCATTATTAATAAATTTTTTTGAGATTGTAATAAAGTGTTTCATTTGCCACAGTGAGCTCATATGTGCTGTAAGAGGAAGTCAACACCTGATTAAAAACATTTCATAGAATCATTGAATCATCAATGGTTCATCAACTGAATCATCAAGGTTTGGGAGAGACCTTCAAGATCATCTAGTTCAACTGTTAACCCACATGGTTATGGTGGTTAGCACCACCATAATCATTCCTAAACCATATCCCCAAGTGCCACACCCACAAAGATGGTGACTCTATAATTTCCCATGGCAACCTATTCCAGTGTCTAACACCTCTTTCAGTTAAGTTTTTTTTTTTTTCCCCCTAATATCTAATCTGAACCTCCCTGATGCAACTTAAGGACACTTCCAATCATCCTTTCATTTCCTTCTCACTAAAACTCCTTTCAGGTAGTTGTAGAGAGCAAAGGGCTACACAATTCCTTTGGGAATTTTAATTCCATCACAAAAAGAGCAAACTTTGTTCTTTTGTAGAATAATAAGCAATTTACTGAAGTTAATGTCTTATGACTAATACTGTACCATATACAAAAAGATGTGACAAGATTTGAGAACTTTTTTTTCTCTCCTAATACAAAATCCTAAGAGTACTGACAGAAATAACTTGGTTTTTATTCAGTAGTAGAAACACCCCCCCAAAAAAATCATCTTGGGTTTCAAGGCATTCCCTATTTTTTGATTATCAGTGTCTCAACCAAAAAATACAGAAACACCACATTCTGCCTTGGATTAATTGCAATTATTAGTAGCCCTGACAATTTAAAATAAGGAATCATATCTCTCATACATGCCTTGCAAATAATTTCCATTCCATTTCCATCTCTTCATCTATGGAAAAACACAAAAACATCCCTTCTTTTGTAATCAAAACAAAAAAATACACTTCCTATTTCTACACCCTGCCCCTGTGAGATACCACAACTTCTGTGAAACCAGGAGACCCTGCTCACAGCCCAGGAACAGTGCATGCTCCTTCAGTCCAAGGGGTGAAGATGTGCAAGTGTGTCAGCAGCAACCTAAATTTCAAGTTTTCATAAAAGGAAATGAAATAAAAAGATGTGGAAAACCAGTGACTGAGCCCAGTCTACAGTGACCTCTCCTGCTTTCAACAAGGCTGTTCTTACAGCACTACAGTCAGCAGTGCAGTCTACTCCTCACTGCTGCCAGCCAAGGAAAATTCTTCCACTCTCCTGAGAGCCACCAAGAATCCTCTCACAGCTTGTAAAGTGTTTTCTCGCATAGTTGGTGTTTGTAAAGAGGTCAAACTGACCATTACATACTGAGGACAATGCCACACCATATGAACTAAACACAACCACGCTAAGAAAATCCCAACATAATTTTGCACCTTCTCTGGCCCCAGCTGGGGAGCTCTGGGAGGCCTTAGAGTGATTGGAAAGAAAATGTAAACATGAGATCCCAGAAATGAGCTTGTGAGTACAAATATGACATGAAAGAAGGAAAAGCACAACTTCCTAATTTGGAAGGCTGCAGAAAGACACTGAAAAGTCAAGGTATAGTTGGCACGAAGGTTTCCAAGTATAAAGATAACATAACTTACTAAATCTTATTTAGGAGCACAAGTTATTTACACATTTTAATGAAACATAAGATACAATGCAACACATTTTTAACCATAGTTAGAGTTTTGCTTTACCAGGCGATATTTAATGTTTCTATTCAATCTCAATCAAGTATTTGGATAACTAGAGCCACACAGCAGCAAAATGACTTTTTTCTTTCAAATATATTTGTTATCTGTTTGTGCATCTATGCCAACAACACTGGCAGCAGATTGCTGTAGGGTGGGCAGGTGCTGGGCA